AAGAGGCAAAATAACATATTTATTAAATAAATAACCATTTATCATAGCTTCTCCTTCGTAATGGTGATTTTGCATAAGCTTTCAAAAATTTTACTTGTCATATTTCATCATTTCTACGTGTTGTTCTGAAGCTATGCGAATGTTATTCTTCTCAATAATCGAATAGGCTAAGCATTTTTAGGGTCACAAAAGCTTTTTATCTTAACAAGCTTTTAGTAAACCTCAATTTTTGTGAGGAAGAATTTAAGGAAGGAACACGATAGGTGGGGAGTTGTAGTCTTAGTTTTTTTTAAGTCCCTAAATTTCTGCTACAAAATTTAATATACCCTAACTGTTCTCATGCTTTGTTCAATGAGTCTTATAGACACATAGCATTTTTCTTCTCTACATATTTCGGATACAGCTTTTCTTATTCTTATTGTGGAAGTCATACATATGGAGACAGATTCATCAAAGCAAAGTAAATCATAGCAAGCGTTATTATACTGCCTACATAAAATATAACGTTGCTAAAATAGGCTAATGTTTTCGGTATCTGAAGTTGCTAATTTTGTCGTATGTTTCAGCCTCACTTTCATAGAATCTTAATGCCAGTCTATTCATTGAAGTTTTATAGAATTATGACAACTCTTTTCTATTTTAAGTATTTTTTGTGATAGTCGACAACTTCCTATCAGTATAGGATAAATAACATAAAATGTAAAGTAAACACATCAAAATGTCCCTCATATCAGTTCAAGTACAACTGGGCATCTACTTCTGATGCGATAAAGATTAAGCCCTAATCTGGCAGAATATATGAACTGTTATCATGTAGACCTCAGCTATAGCTTTTCATTTTGTATCTTACTGATTAGCTAACTATCTTCTTGATCGAGATAATAGGTCTTTTTGAATAAAGGAAAACTGTAAATTCTTTCACATAATATTGAATGTATCATCATTCAAATTCTCATTAATGATGCATGTAGTAACCTTTGACAAATCTTGGGTGTTTTATGTATTGAAACATACCGCTTATTGGCCACTAACTCCAAGCGACCATTACTGTCACAAAAATTATTTACATATAAAGCATCAAAATAATTTATTTGGATTATCAATGTTTAGAAGTGCTTTATTTAAGTAATATCAAGCGAGTATTTGGCATTCATGCTCATTAAAACAAAGAAACAACACTCTTAACCATGCTCATTTATTTTGAATAACTAATTCCTTTATGCAATTGTTGCATACTATTTTTGTAGCAAAACGAAATTTCACTTACCTCTAATTTTAATGAAGAATACTATCAAGCTGATATAAATTGCTATATTGTTTTTCATGAGTCAGTTGTATATATATATATATATATGTATACATAATGCGGAGGTATCATATGACCCTTGCATACCATTCTCGCGAATACTCATTTGCATATAACATAGAAAATGCCCCTTATGTATGCCATTTTTAATTGCTTCATTCTCTATACAGGCTTAAGGATACACGGAGGAAGGAAAATCTTATCAAGTACATATCTTATCTATATCCATTTCTATCCTTGTACGATTTTTTACATTGCTTTCAAGATTACATCAATAGCCTGCATTTAGAAAGTATACTATTTGATGATAGGCTATATCAGAAATAATGGGCATGTGAATCAAGCATCCCGGTCAAACGACTTCTACATAGCGAAAGGAGAATACGACCAAAAAAGATGTTACAGCATCTCAGGCTTCAAATCTGGAATCAGATGAAACTGGTCATTTGAGGAGGTCCGGGTAGTAACCTAACATAAGTAAGAATTTGAGCCATCTAAGACCACTTAAGGCATGAAAATGGGTAATTGAATTTCTCCACAATAATATGGCTAAGAATTACGACAAAATTGGGTTTCACTTAGTCCCGTCTTACAAAAGGCTTTCTCATACAGAGTGGATTGCAGTTTAACCAAGATTTTACCATCAACCCAACGTAATTAGAAACCGGCTAGTGTATGCCATAAAGTTTTGAAGACACTTCGCCGCACCGCCACGGGCTATAGTTGCTCACACGGCGAATTAGACTCTGCTAATGTGATCCAGGCGGGGTCCAAACAAAGGTCTATCCTGGATGGCATTATGAAGCTTGCTCATTCCATTTTGAGAAAAATCAGCTATCCGTCTTTGCATTACTTTAAATGGCATACGTTTGCTCAATTTATTATCCTCTAACAACTAAAAGTTTCAATATCATCTATTCAATTTTCTTATGTTAACCCAAATTACTTGCTCTAAGGTATCAAGGCATTTTGAAGGATGGGAATGGACTGCCGGTCAAATTTAGGGCTTAGACTAGAATAGGGCATGGAGCAATATCCAAAAACTATTTGTTCCCACCTTTACAAATTCCGGTATTGAGAAATATGCAAATTTTATTTTTGTGTGACTCAAATTAATTCTCCATTTCTCTATTGTCCTCCCTTTATGAAATTCATTTCCTGCCAATTCCATCGCCATCCTCTTTTTGCAGTGTTACTGCCACTCTAGCCGCAATCGGAGCTGCCAGTGTGCCTAGCGCCGGGCTCGTAACCATGATGCTCGTGCTTACCTCTGTCAATCTTCCTACTGAAGACATCTCCCTCATTCTGGCCGTCGATTGGCTCCTGTAAGTGGTAATTTACAAAGCCTAAACGTAGGCACTGCAATAATCAGGGGTCAAATCAGTGAGTAAAGTATAAGAGCAATATAAATGGATACTCTATAGCAGGGTATGTAGGAGAGGACTTACAGAAAATCTGATGAAAATTAGTCATATACTTGTAGGATCATCAAGTCAGCCATAGTTGTGTCAATGCTTGCTGCGTTTAACAGAGCTGTATTAAATACTCGGACATTTAAACAAAAGAAAGTACAAATAAATGAGATCTGACCATAAAATAAAGGTGATACATTTGACTCGCAGCTGACATTATAGGCAACGCGGTCTTCACCTTTTTTTCATCGGCTTTCAACCTGCTTTAGGAGGATTTTAGGTTAATTATTTGATTATTCTTTATTTTGTATAAGCTCTACTTTCATGTGTGTAGTGAACGTTCTATACTATTTTTAAGTCTCAGTACTTCAATACAAAATACATTCTAGTATGTTATGCAATAATAGTGGCTAAGCCTAAGGATAAATGTATTCGGATTAAAATTAGAACCAAAATAAACTGAGGGGGCGAAGTCACTCTGCAGGTATAATTCACTGTAGAAACAATCTTCAAAGCTATGCACTTTAAAAAATTACTTTCTTCTTTGTCCTATTAGCTGATACTCTGGATTCTGGAGACTCATAAGGCTAAAACATTTTAAGCGAAGATCTCAAGCTAATTACTTTAAATACTTTAACCACATATCCGAGATTTTAACAAATTAATATAACATAGACTACTAAGTCATTTGAGAGCTATAGACTTACTCTTTACCTAAGTAAACTTGGGATGCTTATTCGAATCAAACAAATTCATTTTCTACATACAACCGAATTTACAAGAATGGAGTGATAAAACTCTTGATTTCGCTAATATCATATGAGAATAGAGAATGTATGAACATCCCTTATTCTTCAATTATTTCGTTACCATTGCGTTGTCTATTGAAATTCACTACTATGCTGCAGCTATTAGTTTCTATAATATAATTTTAACTCACAAGATAATTAGGATGCTAAATAGAATTTTATCATTTAGATATGATATAGCACATTTGCAATATTTATTTAATTCAAAGATATATTTATTCACTTTCAATCATCAATTAACTTTGATGAAGCTCAGATATTTTGGATACAAAGATTCCTCTCTTACCAAAAATGAATTTGGTATAGTAGAGGAAGGCAATCTTCATCCTAGACAATTACTTTCAGCTATAGATCATTCAAATAATCCGACTAAGCCTTCCCTGATCATATTACATGAAACCGGACATTTTGGAGGAAGTGACTTTTATTTGTAAGGCGACACATTCGTTAGGGCATATCGGACAGCCTCCTATTACGATCCTTCGTTTTAGCCTTGCTTTATAGAATTCCACTCAGATCCACATAAAACAGTGCTCCACTAAAGCGGATTTACGAGCATTGCTTTCCATATTCAGAGGTCAAGTAGCTTTAAATCTGTTGAATACATTTTATCGATGCCAATTTTCCTCAGAATGTCTTTTAGTTAGGCCCAATCAGTAACATTTATGCATTGAATTCTGTGCAAATATTGGACCTCTGTCCATTTTTGGCAGGGCTATAGTTTCTATCTAGATATTAGGGGGGATTCCACACCTCTTGTTTAGAATACTTTGAGCCTAAGTTGTCATATGGATTGTAATTTCAGTCCCTCGCACGTTTATGCTGATAGAGGTCAGATCAGACTGATATTAGACTTTTGTGGGGATGTTCTTCCACCTTAAAATTCGTTTAGAAGATGCATGATCATAATTAATGCTCATTCTTATAAACCTAATAAGGCATATAGACTTCGAAAAATGTGAAAATATGGATTCGACAGTCTCATAAAGTTTTGCGTAGTGCAAACATGAAGGAATCGTGAAATGCTTTTATGGACATTATGACATGATAATTTAATCAGATTAGATCAAGTGTTGTTACGAGCCATGTAGAAGATGCTAAACCAGGTTACTCATTAATTTTAGTCAAAAGTTTTATATCATATTTTATATCATATATGTATTTAACTTATAATCAAACTTCATATTCCTTAAATTTCTAGACACTTTCCGAATCCGATAACTAAAATTAGCTCATCTACTTCATAATATTTCTCCAAATTTGGCCTCCTAAGCTCATAATTTAGTCGAGATTTTTGCCACCGAGACGTAATATATTCTAGTTACTCATTTGATTGCGGTCCTATTAATCGAATGCTTCATATCTTGCTGTTTCAGGCTTTGTATCCCTTATTCCATTCCATTTTAGTTTTTCTCTCAGAAATTCTAACGTATAATCTGCATTTTTTTCTCTTACGTGTGCCTCTGCTCTACCATGAATATCAACCTGTCTATCCTGACTCTGCCTTGGGGCCTTAATTCATGCAGCGATCGCATTCGTACATCAATCAACGTGCTTGGCGATGCCATTGGAGCAGGTATAGTACATCATCTCTGTGCCAAAGAGTTAGCTGCTTATGATGCCGAAGCCGAGCGAGAGTTGGATGAGATTGTGGAGGACCTCACACGCAAACACTCACACGATGAAGCGCATGGCTTCACTCCGGGTAGGTATTTGTCAGCGAATTTCAGATTTGAATAGAAATATTGTATCTTATTTAGAACAGTATTGTTAAGTTAATACTGGCATACCTTACATCTCGTTTGAAAAGGCGGGTAGAAAGGATTCGTAAATTAGCCTTACTGGATACCGAAAGCGGGTTGTCTTGGACCTTGGTCTGTTAAATTGCGCGAAGTGGACCTCGGTTCACCGTCCTACGACCCCGATGACTCTGTGTTGAGCTTTCATCTGTGAGGTGACAGACGTCGTCAGAGCCAGAAACCATTATTGATGAACAATCGCCAAAACACCAAACCAAGAAAGGTGGCCGGCTGAGATGCCAGTTACTTCTTACACCTCACTTTGCGATCTTACTGAGCCATTCCAGGTTTTGATTGGCTGTTTTATGCTTGTCCTACATGCATGTAAGAGAGTCAAAGTGATGCAGGAGGGAGTGCGGATGTGGCCACAACTTTGGTAAATAAACTAACGTATGATCCTATAATCCTGGGTCTTGTTAAAGCATCGTGAATTCGTTTTCGTATGTGTGTACTACATCCACGACTTAGTTGGCAATTTTAGGTCCAAACACAGACTACAGGTTAGTTAAGTCTTCTCCTCTTACTTAGTAGCTTTTCATATTTCCTTTCCTATTCTCTCTCTCTCTAATTTTAGTTAGCAGCAAGAGATAGTTGTTGCTTCGTTTCCTATATTTATTGCACTTATTCAGGATATTGTTTTTTTTTATTTAATCGACTCACTGATCTTTCGCTTAGCCGTTAAATCCTCAGATCCGGAAAAACGTTGGGATTTAGACCGCCATATCTGGTGTCCTGTAGTAACCACGCCCTCAACAACCTCGGATTTCTCAATTCATAAATATTTGCAAGCTCGGTGTTCTGATAGCGTCGTATGCATATGTCGACAAGTCTCCCCTACATAAGCACTAACATATGAGAATAAAACCTCATACCAACCTAATCTATAGAGGGCATCTAAAAAGTCTCTTAAAGAAAGAATGATCGAGGAAATATCGTGGCATAGCTCTCAATTTCCGAATGAAAGTTAGTTCGAAGGAATTAGGGATGTGGTCTCACCGGAAACTGAAGAAGGATTGCTGCGTAGGGAAGACAGTTGCACTGTGCAACGAAGTTCTCGGGTCACCGTCCTGCGACCCCGATGAAACTGTGCTAAGCTTTCGTCTGTACTATGACAGACATCATCAGAGCAAGATTCCATACT